GTGTGTGTGTGTGTGTGTGTGTGTGTGTGCGTGTGTGTGTGTGCGCGCACGTGTGTGTGTGCACGTGTGTGTGTGTGTGTGTGTGTGTGTGTGTGTGTGTAGGGTATTGGCATATTATGGAGCCTCAGAGGAGTGGCTGTTGCACTGATTTCTGTGCCCTTTTCTGTGGCTTGCAAGGGAAGGCCTATGTCCAGGTGTTGGTGAGAAAGGACCGGGAAATGCAGCCATTCATGTGGGGAAGTTAAGGGAACATTGACCTGGGCAGGATGGAGGCATACCTGCCTGAATAAAGGTACAGATCATGAGTGACAGGGAAGGAATAGTAACAGCAGAAATGTGCATGGTAGTGGCAATGGGGGTTAAATGACTTCCAGGACCCCAAGGAACTCTAAATGACTGCTTGAGGGGTATCACTGTGAGAATGCCTGCACACACCAGCATCTCAAGGATCCTCATGTACTTCTCTTTCTCCAGTGGCTTAGGAGAAGAAGGTTAGAGATATAGAACAAGGGTCTTACTTGCAGGATGGATAGAGCATGCACACAGCCAGATATAGTAGGACTTTCCATGTAGCTTCTAATGTCTGGAGGGAATTCTAAGACATCCATTCATAAGCCCATCCATCCATGCCCCAATCTGCTCATAAACCCATCCACTCATAAATCCATCTGCCCACCCATTCACTTGTTCATTTGTTACTCATTCTTTTCTTCCTTCATCACAAGAGTATTAAGAGTACACTGCAAACTAGACCCTGTGGCTTGCACGTTATTGATGGAGGGATAAGGCTGAGTATTCTCCTTATTCTCCAGGAAGAGTGAAACCACCACACCAAGAAACCTATCATCTGAAGTCCAGAGTAGTGGAAGTGGGCTGGGGAAGTCCAGGATTCAGTTGAGGCTTCATTACAGAGTCAAACTTTGTTGCTCATTTGCTTCTGCTGCCTGGACCAGACTTTCCCTGTGAGCTGCTGATTCCTAAGATGAAAGTTTCTGAACCCACAGCTCTGATATGCCCCCACAGACACCTTATGAAGTCTCCTGGGGTGGAGAAACTGGGGTTGTGGCTGTACACAGCTATCTTGTGCTTCTGATCTGACAGTCAAGGGCTGTGTAACTTTTATTCAACCAGTGTCTTCGCTATCTCTCAGTTTCCCTACAATAGGACACGTGGTAAATTATCATTGCCATGATTATAAGTGAAACTCAAGTATTAGCAATGACCTCATCTTGGGACTGAGGAGCTATTTAAATCAGTGGTGCCTGCTACTATTGGTCCACAGGAGACAATTCCCTGCGCTTGACCCTAAGGACAATTACATGGCCAAAAGGATCTGGGCCATCCACTCCTCCTATTGCAGACTCTGACCTTCCTGTGAACTCATAAACCCAACAGAACTGTTGGCTGATGACCTGGGCACCTGTCCAGCTATGCTCCCCATGCTGAGTCTCGGGAAAAGGAGATGACAGGTTACCTACCCTAATCATGTTTGTCATGACAGCTACTGGTTGGTTCCACATGTTCCAAGACTTGGACACATAATAAAGCATTGCTTCCAGTCAGCTCTAGCAGGTAGTCAAATTTAAGCAATATCACAAAACTCTCAGCGGTTACCTGGAGTTCACTTTGGAGCCAGGGTTCCTTGTTTCTCACCACTCTGCCAGGATTCCACATTCTCCTCATCCTCTTTCTGCTCAAGTCCCATCGCACCTTTCTCAGGGCCACATATATGGTGAGAATCCAGAGAGTCTGAGCTGAGGGTGGCATTCTTGGACTGAGCTGCCATCCTTTTCCCTGCAGGTTAGAGTCAGGTGAAGTCTTCTGATCTAGTGCAGTTTTCCTCTCCCATATACGTCCTGCCCTAAGTGCCCAAACCCAAATGAGAAGACACAGTTCAGAGGGGAGATAGGCACAGTCCAGGCCTCACTGTCCTGTGTATACAGAGTAGAACAAAGTCTGCTTATTACCCAGGAGTCACAAAGAATCACTCACTGTTTACTTGGAGGTGCATGATAGCCCATTCTGATCTCAAATCTGCAGATATGGTCCGTAGGGTATAAATTCCTGTGTCTTTCTGGGTGACATTCTTGAGTATCAGGGATCCATTGGAATATATTGTTGCTCTTCTATGATATGCATGCCCAAGTGTGCTTGAATTAATGAGGATTGCATGGCTTGCTATCTTTAAGTGGTCGAGTGGAAGTACCCCTTTGTGCCAAGCAAAACCTTGGAGCTTTTCTGGCAGATTATGAGCCAGTAAAAGAACATTGTCTCCTTCAGCAACCATGGGTGGCACCAACTCAATTGTGAGTTTGGAAGGGGCAGTACGCTTCTTGAAGCCTAAAATTGGTGCTAGAAGGAAATAGAAAGAAATCTGTCAATAGTGAATCCTCTGCATTGGTGGAAAAGTGGGGTCTCTGAGTCTTGAGCAGATGTGTCCATCACTGAGCCTTGGTGTGTGGGTGAGGGTGTGCCTATCCTCCTTGGTAGAGGTCAGCAACCTGAGCTCCATGCCCTCAGTGCCACTGAACTTGTCATTTTCTCTGTATGTAACTCTCTCCTCATCTGTCTGCATGACTCACCCTCACTGCCCCCCATCCCTGTTTACAGCCAGAGCACAAGGAAGAATGTGCCTCTACTGGTCTCTTCCTTGACAGAACCTGGGTCTTTACACTCTGACTTATTTTGCATTAGTTCCTTTGTGGTACTTTCTTGATACCCTTGTTCATGTGTCTTGCCATCCACTACTAGGACTTTGTTGCCAGGGATCAATTTGATCTTTTTAGAAAGCCTATAAAGAATTCAGTGGATAAATGAATGAATGAATGATGAATGAATGAATGAATGAATGAATGCATACTTCGGGAAACTGCAACTCTATGCATTAATTTACCAGATTCTCAGATTCCAAGTTAATTAGTTTTTCATGCTGTAATTTGATTTTTATGTTTATTTACTGTTTGTGGGGGGGCACAAGTGCACATTAATGTTGTATTAGTGTGTGCATGAGTGAGTGCATGCCACAGTACCTATGTGTAGGTCAGAGGACAGCTTGTGTTACTAAGTTCTCTCTTTCCACTATGTGGGATGTGAGGATTGAACTCAGGTCATTAGGGCTGACAGCAAGAGCCCATATCCACTGAGTCATCTCACTGGCCCACTGCACTTTGCTTTTCATTTGAACAGTCATCTTCTCATAGATGGGAACATTAGTCTCCAGAATATAGTTGCCAATGTGATTAACTTGATTAAAGAACAATCCAACTCTCTTCCTGTGCCCCTTAATATTTCCTGCCCATCAAGAGCTTCCTGCTGCAGAGTCTCTGTCTCCCTTGTTGTATTTTCTCCTCTCCAGCAGAAAAGAAAAACCCCAAGTCTCTTCTTAGGCTCTTATCCTCTTTAGGAGATTCTAGGCCATTTCTGAGTGAACCTTCTCCTTCACAGAATAGGGAATGGCCTCGGTATCTGTAGCAGGAGTTTCTGCCATTTTTTATGCCATTTGCAGCAGATGTGGAAGTGGCTCCATGGCCTCTGCTGTCTGTTCTGTTCTCCATCCCTGGAGAAGACATTAGCTCCAGCACTTTCCCCAAGCCCTATTGTTCTGGTGGCAGCTATACTGTCCTTCCTTCTTGTGATCTGAGTCTAGGACAGAAGTTGGGAGACAGAGCCATTTAAGACCTCATGGTTTCCTTATATTTTCCAAAACCCAAGGTTATGTTCATGATGAGAGCCCCAAGAGTCTCTGCTGAGGCTGACATTCTTGACTGAGTTACCCAGCACAGGTCCTCTCTAGAGTCAGGTGAGGAATTATGATCTATGGCAGTTTATCTCCATGAAGCATGTCCTGAACTAAATCCTCAAACCACAACACGAGGGCACAATGTAGAGGAGAGGTAGATCTAGTTCAGGCTTGACAGCACTGTGTATGTACAAGTGGAATGAACCCCATCCAGCACCAGAGGTTACAAGAATGACTTACTGTGTACAAAAAATTCCGCACGTGTTATTTCAGATCTTGAATTTGTATTAAGTGTCTGTAGGATGTAGTATCCTGAGTCCTTCCTGGTGACATTCTTGATCAGCAGAGATCCATTATTGAATGCTGTCTCTCTACCACTGTGTGCAGGACCCAGCACACATGAATTGGTAGCTATTGCACATCTTGCAATTTCACGGCTCTTGAGCACCATAACTCCTGTGTACCAGGAAAAGGCTTGACCATTCTCAGGAAGGTTGTGCACAAGCAGAAGAACATTATCCCCTTCAGCAGAAATGGGTGGCACTGATTCAATGGTGAGCTGGGCAACAGTAGGAGGCAGCCAGCAGGTTAAAAGGGAGGCTAGAAGGGAAAAGAGAAATCCATGAACATTGGGACTTCTATATTTGATGGAAAGATGGAGCTTGTGTCCTGAGCAGACATGCTTATCACTTAGCCTGGCTAGGTGGGTGACAGCAGGACCACCATATAGGAGGTGATGAGCAGATGACCTCTACACCCTCTGTAGCCCCGAACCTGTTGCTTTCTCTATGTGGAATTCTCCCCTCAGGTATGTGCAGGGCTCACCTCAGATTCCTGTTTATATCCAGAGTATATGGGCTGAGGTGATGCCTCCCCTTCTCTATTTGTCTAGAGAACCCAGGCCTTCACGTTCTTCTTTATCTTTTCTCTTTTCCCTCTTTTCTTTTCTCTTTTCCCTCTTTGTCCTCAGTTATCTGACTATTGTTGTGGAATAATCTTTTTGTACACTGTGAAGATTTGTTAGTCACGTTGGTTTAATAAAAATCTTAATGGCCAGTACCTGGGCAGGATTTTCAGGGCAGAGAGGATGCTGGGAAGAAGAAGGGTAGAGACATGAAGAATCAACAGCCAGAGACAGAGGAATCAGGAAAGCAGCACTGGCATTATAGAGTAAAAGTAATAAAGCCGCAAGGCAGAAAGTAAATTAATAAAAATGGGTTAATTTAAGTTATAAGAGATAGTTAGAAACAAGCCTAAGCTATCAGCTGAGCTTTCATAATTAACAATAAGTCTCCATGTTGTTTATTTTGGACCTGGCTGCCTGGACAGAAAAGTCCAACTACAAATGGCACCCAACATCTGGCCATATGTATCCACATAAGATCTGAGAAAGCTTAAACAAAGGTTCTAAACACACAAAAACAGAGCTGAGAAGGGCTTCTTAGTCTTGTGTCTCTCATGCTGGCCATGGTACAGAGACACATCTCCCAGCAGCTGCCTGTATGATTGAGCCACCAGTATGCCAAGAGATAAGCCACATGGCAGGTTTAAGGTTTTGCTCATGCAGACAGAAAAGGTTACAGATATGCAGTAAAGCAGGTTCAGATAGAAAAATCCTCTAAACACATTACAATGTGTTTAACAATATACATAGGCTTAAGGAAAAATGGGTATAGACACTCATAGAAAAAACAACTAGTTTAAAAATAATAAAGTCTTTAAAGGGAGAGTGAAGTAGTAGAAAAAATAAGCCATGTAAGGATGGAATACACAGGGAGTCTGGATCCTATATGGTGTCTTGTTAACTTTGAATTTTTTAAATGCTAATGTAAAAAAAATAGCTGCTGAGAGACATTGGATTATGGAAACTACTAAATTAAACCAACCTTTATATTTTTAAAATGTCTTAACTTCAAAATGGAAGTTGGGCAGTGTGTTGTGTTGGAGGAGAGGTAATGCTTTTGTTACCATGGGAAACAAAAGGCTTTGTATTCCCTCCAGATTAATAGAGATCAGATTTGACCATAGGAGACCTCCTGAGTATCTTGGCTACAGACATATGGGAGGAAGCCAAAAAAAAAATGCTACAGAACGGATGATCTATAAACTGATCCCTTGACATGGGAACAGCTCTGAGATGAGACATGATTAACCTTGTTGGTGACAGAGGCCTTATGACTTACAATGACATATCATACTTTCTTATGGCATGGATAGATGCACATAACAGTTTGATTATACAGTCCAAATAGGTTTACACAGTTGACAGATGCCTTTTACATGACCAAACATAAAATAAAAATTTATCTTTTACTGACTTTTGCATACTGCATATTCCATATTTGTGTTAATGCAGATAAGTATGTTACCTTTGAAAGTTTATGTGTTTTTAAAGCAATAGTACCAGATACCAATGAAAACAAATGGCCCAGGTGAACCAGTATCTCAGAGTGCTTCTGCTGCAGTTTCACGAGAGTTCTGCATCCAGAACAGCTTCAAGGCCAGCCAGGAATTCAGGTAAGCCTTGCACTTTCTGATTGCATGGAGACTGAACAACAAATAATACAGCTAACTCTCCCAAGATTTGACCATTATCCCAATTTTCTCAGGGTCTTCTAAAGATGCCAGTCCCCCAGATAACAGCAATCAGTCTAGAGAACATGACACCCATATTCTCAAGAGGTGGGGTGGATGGCTTTTGGTTATTTGATGGGTTACAGATGTTTGTCATCATTTAGGGGGTTGGTTACAAGTTGTTATTGGTAATGGCCAAGGATCTCTTTCTGAAGGAAAAAGGGGGATATAGTATAAAAATGATGAAATAAAAGGGTGGACTCTTGAGTCTACTTTTAAACAAACACTAGTCCCAAATATTTTACATTGGTCTGGATTTTTGTATATTGATGCAAATTTAATGTTATTTTGTTATACTGTATATATGTTTCTATTCTTGTTTAAGATATTATACCTATTCAGCTCATTTAAAAAGATTGTATAAAGCTTTATTCTTTGAAAGCTATTTAGGGTAATAAATACAGGTTAATAGTCATCTATATCTGTGAACCTAATAGCCATGGTAGGTATGTTTTCAAGACCACACAGAGATATATTTAAGATAGATAGGTGATCTTCAAACACTTAAAAGACCTACATAATATGGCATTTTAAATGTTTTAATAGCATAAAACTTTTCATTCCAATGACTCATGTCTTCTCTTGGTGTCACCAATCTACTTCAAAAAAGAATAATTGGCATCAAAGATCCTCTATATGGCATTTGCATTCTTTGCCACAAAAGCTAGCCATCTGAGCAGGAAACTGCTGTTGCCTCAATTGCTGACATGCTGTCCAAATTGGACCAGCAGGACACAAAGTAAAATGATTGCTGAACTTTGCTAAGACAGGGTAGGCTTCACAGAAAAGTCTGTCAGATATTCTAGGCCTATTGGCCAAAGATGGATGCCTCAACATTGTAGAGGAATCTTGGGTGACTGTCCAGGCAGCCAGTGTTCCTGTCATTTTAGTTTTGGAAATTGCTTGCTTTGCACTTCCTGTTTACTAAAGCAATATTATATCCTTCTGGGGTCAGTCTTTGATGGAGTTGAAGACTAGATGGTCATAGTTTTCCTTGTTTATGATAGAAGGTAAATTAGGTACAGAGCTTTGGCCTCATCAAGATAGAATAAATAATGGAGTATTTTCTTCAACTATGCCAAATACAAGTGGACAGGACATTGTAAATGTAATTTTTACCTGATAATTTTTCTTATTGTTTGTAGTTTCATTATGCTAGAGTTAAATCCTTTTCTTTTTATTTAGACAAAAAGGAGAAAATTTGGAATAATCTTTTCATACACTGTGAGATTTGTTTTTTGGATTGATTTAAGAAAAAGCTGAACAGCCAATAGTTAGGCAGGATTTTAGGGACAGAGAGCATGCTGGGAAGAAAAAGGGGGGAGATGTGGAGAAATGTCAGCAAGAGATGGAAGATGCATGAAAGCCATATGGGCAGTATATGGTAAAGGTAATAAAGCCATGGGGCAGAAAGTAAATTAATAGAAATGGGTTAATTTAAGTCATAAGAGCTAGTTTGAAGCAAGCATAAGCTATCAGCCAAGCTCTCATAATTAATAATAAGTCTCCATGTCATTTATTTGGGGGCTGGCTGCTGGGACAGCAACATCCTCCTTCTAGATATTCTTTCAGGTTTGTCTTTTATCTCACTAGACAAGGGCTGCATGAGAACCAAGATGAGCCTGACATGTTTGGAGAGCCCAATGCCTGATAAAGGCTTGGATGCCTTTGGATGAATGGGTGAATGTATGTTCTAGGATCCTCTTATCCAGGAGTGTATTTTCAAAGTTCTCACATCTGGAACTAGTGATACCTTTAGTACAAGAGTTTCATTTTTTTCTTAGTTTGTATTCTTTGTGTATGTCATGGGTGAATGTATGTATGTGTGTGTACTTGTGTGTCTCTGTGTATGGGTGAGTGTGTGTATAGCATGTACACAGATGTAAGACACTTTGTAGGTGTTGGGGAACTTTCTGCTGCCAAGTGCCTGTCCCTGTCTGTGTCCTCTCCTCTCAAGCCGAGAACAGAAACTCTGAGTCTCCCCTCAAGATCTTGTCTTCTTCAGGGGACTCTAGCCAGGCTCTGAGATGCCCCTCTTCCCACAAAGTCAGATAGTGACCTCCTCACCTGTGAGCAGGAGCCACTGCCAGGAGAAGCAACCCATGCAAGGAAGCACAGCAGAGTCCACCATGGCCCCCCAACCTGCTCTGTTCTCCCTTTGTGGAGAAGGGCTTCAGCTCCAGCACTGTTCGGCACCCTGCTGTCTTAGTGTTAGCTCTGATGTCCTTCCTCCCTTTTATCTGAGACTTCTCCCAGGTAGAAGCCCCTCCTAGAATCACATGTTGTACAAGACACAACACTTCATTTCCCTCTCTCTTCCATCCTCTATCTTTCTCCCCTTTCCTCTCTTTATGTCTCAGACCTCCAGACTGTGCAATGAATGAGCAATAAAGCTGATAAGTCTCCTCATGCTCTAACAGAACAACACCCTAGGGATGACGTCTGTGGTGTCCTTGGCCTTGGGTCTGTCAACATCAAAGAGGAGGACCCCCTCCAGTCCTTTCTGTGTATCCTTTTTGACACAGAAATCCAGCTAAGTGCTTAGTTATCTCTGTGTGCTCTGGAAAGGCAGGATTTATTTCCAGCAGGAATATGACAGAGATACCTATGAGGGATAGAAAGGGACCTGCTTACTGAAGCCTGTGAGAGGGAACTCAGTCATCACCAATCATTCACCATTCAGGGGCAGAGGACAAAGAACAATTGTATCAGGAGTTTCATGTTCTGGATGTGTGGGAGTAGGTCACCTGTGTGTCCTGGGTAAGAGAACTTCTGACTTCAGCATCATTTCTCTAAAATGCCCATCTTCTGTCTGGGTGATTACATTCTGGAATTCTGTCTTTCCCCCAAAGGAAATGACAGGGCACAGGGCTTACACAGGGTCTCCTGGCAGAGCAGTATGTTCAGAGACATAATAAGTAGCCAGGAGGCCAAAGAAAGCTTATGAGAGCAACGTCTGGAACTTTGGGGATGGGGACAAAAACCTAGTTGCAAGTTAAGGCTGTGTCTCATGAAAATAATTTCCTGAGTGTTGATTATGTGTCTGGATGTCACACCCTGGAGAGCATGATGAGACCTGTAGCACTTGTCTGAGGCTATAATAGGAATGATGATCAGGCTCAAACGTAATCTGACCTGATGTCCGAGCACAGGTGCATTGTGGGGACAACCATGTTGTTCACTGTGGCTCTCCAGACCTGATTCTATCCAGTTCCTGATGAGTCTAGGGAAAATTGGAGATTTTAATTGGAACTCCTAGTCCATAGGGAGAAGTAGGATACGCCTAGGGTATGGGCATCCATAGACAGAGCCATGTACTTCCAAAGGAAATCCTGGGGCTTTATCTTGAAATTTAAAGAAGAGCATGCTAGCATGGAGGCCACTCTTGCTCTTGGTGGATCCCTCTTTTGTGTCTACATTCTTGAATCACTTTACCCATATGGTGCTGTGGGATTTGCATATGCAGATATAAAACTACTGTGGGATCCAAATGAATATGCTTTGTGCTCTTGCCAGAAAACTGTTTGTTCTAACTTTGCTTCTACTGTTGTGATAAATGCCCTGACCAAAAGCAGCTTGGTGGAGCAAAGAATTTACCGGCCTGACTCAGGTCAAATCCATCATCGAGGGAAGTCAGGGTAGACACTCAAGACAGAAGCCTGGAGGCAGGAACTGAGGAGGAGAACTGCTGGCAGGGTCATTGTCTCTCTCTCTCTCTCTCTCTGTGTGTGTGTGTGTGCTTGTGTGTGTGAATCAAGACAGTCTTTAACACATTTAGGCAGTGACTTGCAGAAAACACTGACTCAACTGAGTCTCTTTTAGCCCTACATCTGGGACTTTAGGCTGTGTCAGTTTCACAATAAATGTTAACTAGGAAAGGACACTCCATGATCTCCAAGGCTGTGTCCATCCCTGCTGTCAGTGACACATGTGCTCACGTCCACAGCTTCACACAGCCAGATCTTCAAAGCCAGGACTCAGCTCAGAGGCAGCCTGCCCTAAGGTTCACTTTCCCACTTCACTGATCCTCAACCAAGGGACTCTTTGGTGTCCATCGGTGACATTTTTCACCCCCAAGATTAGTGAAATTAGTAACATGTTCTGTTCTGACTGAGGACAGGCCCTACAGGCACCTTCATTTCTCCTTCCAACTACAATGGCACCAGAGGTGAGTCAGGCTCCATGGGAGACAGGAGCAGACCTGGTAGCTCTAAGCTGCCTTTTGTCCCCCATCTATGGTACATGTTCACGAACCATTTGGGTTAACCAACTATGAAGCATGTTTCAAAACCCTGGGTGTTCTTTGGAGGTCATGAATGCCATAAAAGGAAAAGGAGAGGACATGAAGACATGGCTTAGTGACAGAAAGAAATCTACTTGGCCTTAAGGTTCCTACCTTCCCCTGAGATGTCCTACCCAGTACCTGAAATTTTTCAGATCTCCACACATCACAGGCCCAACATGGGAGAAATCAGAGAGGCAGAAAGAGAAGATGACTCAGCCAGATCTGGAGGCTCCATAAAGAGCTGAGATCGGTTGGATCCACACAGGCAGAAATTATCTTCTGTGTCTTTCCAGAGAACCAAAAGCCTTAACTCTAAAGCTTAGTGTAGATCCACTCATCAAAGAATGTAGTTTTCTCAACTGTGGTCCTATTGAGGCCAGTGGCAGAGCTATGGAGGAGGCAGGTATGTGGTTGCTATTAATAGTGATGTCCAGGAAAATGTGTTTTCATAAAGGATCCTGGAGGTCACCATTAATCAGCCCATTAAGACAATACAGATGGGTGAGGGACTTCATGGCAGGAGAGAGGCAGGGGTTTGTTCCTGAATGGAAATAAGAGTCTAAGTTACTGATGTAAATAAGTTACTGATGAGGTATCAGGTGAGAACAGAATAAAGCCTCTTCTGATATCAACAAAGGAATGGGGAGTTCCTGATCTACACAAGGCCACAGCATCTCTCCGGGTTATGATACAACTAAAATTAAATAGATTCCAATCACAGATCAGGGTGTAGCTTAGTGGGAGGGTACTTATCTAATATGCACAAGGCCCAGGCTTCTATCACCATCAGTACACACATTAAAAAACTGTTTTCATGTGTTCACTAAGACTGAGTCCAAGATGCCCCTTATTGTTCCATCACTGAAGGTAACCTGGTCGGTCCCACTCCAAACATAAAGGAACCTCAAGCCCATTCCTGTCCCAAGGCTGGTTTTCTTGGGGATAGCAAAGGATGTCATGTCCAACTTATATGTCCATGTGGGTGCTTTGGTTCATGAACCCAAGAGTAACTGAGAGACCATGCTGTACTCCTTATCTTTATGTAGTTGTAGTCATTAAGGAATGAAATTTATTCTCAGCTAGCATTCAAGTTGGCTGTGTCATTTCAGTTAGCACTCAGTATGTTACCAGTTCAACACTCATAAAATCCTAAGTCATTCATTGTGATACTGGTAAAGTGAGAGTCATGTTTCCTTCAGATGCATACACCCTGTCACCATGTGAGAGGCTCTGACCAGTTGACCACCATAGGCAGTTTGTATTCTGCACCTCAGGTTTACTCTGTGGTGTTAGAGCTGTCCTTGTGATGTTGGCCTTGGGTAGCAGTGCTGTGCAGACCATCCCCTGTGAGACCTCTGATTCTTGCAAAGGCTGCTTTCATCCAGTGTTGGTCTCCATCACCTACATCCTGAATCCATGTTTTTGGGAACCAGCCAGAAGATGACTCCCAGGCAGATGCAGAAGGACCTGAGTGCTCAGAGATGGTGGGTCTCCTGTGCTGTGTGGCAGAAACAGTCTTTATCATGTTTGAACTGAGCTGCAGAGATGGATGGTACAGACCTAAAGGGTGGAGTCAGAGCCCCATTGTCTCTTCTGGTCCTCACTGACTCATTGACCACCTGGCACCACAGAATACTTTGTCCTTCTAGCTGAACTGACATCCATTGCCTGGGCCAGTGCTCTTCAAGGCTTTGCTGTTCAAGACTGTCCTACAAATAGGGAATAATAAGACTTCCCATTGAGTTTTCCTTGAAAGCATTTAACCCTGTCCTTAGAACTTGATGTGTGTACAGAAATATCATGCCTGAAATCAGTTCTGACTGGTAGAATGTAGAAAGGAAGAATTTGTGGGAACTCCAGTTGGTGGGTTCAGGGGTGTTCGGCATATCTGGATTAGGGATTTGGGACACATTTTCTATGTGAGACCATTGTTACTCATATCCAGGATCTAAGGCCAATCCATGAAAGGATGGTTTCTCTAAAGAGCACAACGAGGTATGCTGAAAGACAGATGCTAACATTGTTTGAAATAGTGACACTTTGAGCAGAGAGAGCCCTGTGTTAGATGCAGGGTCTATTGGAAGTGACAAAGCAAAGCCCTGTCCTTCACATTCCAGGAGGAGAGATAGTAGCACATCAGAAAACACATGACTTCTTGTCTAGTATGCGGGCTGCAGAGTCATGCAATTCTGCAGAAATTCTCCAAAGGTAGGGGGCTGAGTTCTAGAATCAAATCTATCCATCCATTTGTTTTCATTTCCTGAGCCAGACATCCCATCAAGCTGCTGATGACAAAGATTAACTCCTCTGTAAAACAGCTCCTCCCCCTCCACAGACACGTGAGAAGGCCTCCAGGGTGGAGACACTGGATACGTGGCTGCAGACAGATAGCTGGTGCTTCAAATCTGCCATGCATGCCTCTCTAAGCCCAAGCAGAGAGAGCCCTGGGTTAGATTCAGGATCTATTGAAAGAGACAAAGCAAATCCCTGCCCTTTATGTTCCAGGAGATGAGAGTGCCACATCAGAAAACACATGATTTTCTCTCCGGTAGGTGGGCTAGGGACTCCCAGGATTCAGCAGAAGTTCTCCAGATGCAGTTTTTTTCTGTATCTGTTTCAAGATATAGGGCTCATGGCAAATGAATGTTGTAATGTCTATAATACAGTCTTAAACATGAGCAGGGCCCTGACACTGGGACAGGACAGCTGTCTAGATCAACAGTGTCTGTTACTCTTGGCCTGAAGGAGAGATGACTATAGACTTAATGATACCTGAGGATACTGAGGTGTCAGGATGACCCAGGTTCTCTGTTCCTCCCCTTGTGGACCCTGACATTCCTGTGAAG